GGGCTGTTGTGCACGCAGCAGGTTGTTTCATTAACAGGTTGTCTACTTAGTGCCAGCTGCCCTGACACTGCTCGTCAGCATTAACCCGTCAATAACAGGTACGATATTAATGTGCAAAACAGAGTCTCTGCTCAGATTTTGCCCCCAAAAGGTTGTGTATGTTTTTGTCATTCAATGAGAGATTAAGATCAGGCGATGTGTAAACATGTCCCACCACCTTCTGAGGACAAAAGCTGTGGGACCTGCTTCAGCAAAAGCTGGCCCTTGGTTTAATGCTGGTGGCTGGACGTGCTGCAGGTGGAGGAGCCCTGCGTAAAGGTCTGCTGCTGGGGTGGTCATACCTTTGCACCCTGACTACAGTGCTCTGAGCCCGACTGGCGCACAGGCCTGGCAACCTGCCTCTGGTGCTGATGTGAGTCCATCAGTTCCCTTTGTTTCTGTGCTGTAAATCGGCGGTTTTGCTGATCTGCCTCACGGAAGAGGAGTTGAGCTCTGCACAGTCTTTCGAAAGAGCCAAAGGGCTGGTCCAGGACCAGGTGTTGCAACTCCTGCAGACAGCGCGCAGGCAGCGACAGGGGCGTTTGGAGGCTCCGGTGAAGGCAGGGGGCGGGTTTCCGAGGGTGGACACTAAGGGGGCTAATGCCACATCACGTGTTGAGAGAATCAGTCAGATCAGATTTGTCCCGGCCTCCAGAAAATGCTTAGGTTTTTGTATTTTCATCTATCAGAAATTATTTTAAAATAATGACATTTATATACACAATGTGACTGTATCTTCTCTGGGTGAATACTTATTCTGAATAAACTAAAACCACACTTGGGCCAAGAAGGATCCTCAGGAGCGCATGTTGTGGTCACAAATCCCACTGTTAGAGTCTTCAGGCATTCTGGCTACCTTCGGCATACAAAGTGGCATCATTCATAAAGCCAAAACACATGAGGGTTGGATGGTTGTGGTTTTAAATATTCCAGAGGAGGTTTATTTGTGATAGGTGTATTTTCAATGTGGTGGCATTTGGCTGGTCAAAAGAATCTGCATGTTAAACTCACAAGTGGGTTTTTGTTACTTGTGCTAAGATCTGTGGAAAATAAAGATTAACATAGCACAACTGTTGTAGAACTGGACCTTGCTGCAAATTCACCAAGGGATATTTGCCGTTCGAGTCTGTGGAAGACCCAGACTCTCCCTCTGCTGAGCTGCAGTAAGTTCAGCTAAATGGGGAATTGATTACAACGCTGGGTCATGCTGAGCTCTTGGATTTGGGCAGCTCATCATCTTTAATGCTCAACTGGAGGGGTCAGTGTGCAGATAAGTCTGCTTATAACTTTATGCTTTTTGCTGTTGACATCAGCAAGAACTGCCCGTGTCTTTCTCTTACCTCTTCCTCGCGAGCCCCAGGGAACAAACGTGAGAAACCACAAGACCCTGGGCATCCATTCAGATCTTTCCTATCGCTCCCCTGAACTCTGGTGGCCCTCTGGGGTCCTGCTGAGCATCTGGTTATGGCTGTGAGCACTGGAAAGACTGTTCCTCCTGCTTAAGAGAACTTTCATTTATAATCCACCTTGTGATTTTTTTTTTTTTGTCTGTATATGTTGAATGCTGGAGCCTGTTTGTTTGCTGGAGAAAACACGTACACATTTTCAATGAGGTGCTGCTGCCATGGTGCATTTCTAAGAAAGCCTCAAGCCCATGAGTGAGTTTTTTTTAATAGCACTTTTTAGCAGATTTCCCTAGTCATAAAGATGCTGGTATTAATTCCATCTTCCTGCTTAAGACGTGTGTTTTTGCAGGAGGCTTCTTTTTTAGCAACTCAGTTGCTTTCTGATTTATAGGGTTTACTTCATGCTGCATTGCAGTTGCTGGTAGTCTATTTTTTCCTTCAGATAATAGCATTTGGAGAAGCCTCTGTGACCTTCATTGTACTGGTTGTATTGTTGGGACCATTGCCTTGGCTTGCTCTTTGTTTACTTACGCTCAAGGAAACATTTTACACGAAGAGGAAGGCAGGTAAGTAGTGATTTTTATTTTCCCCTGCCCGAATTAAGCTGGCCAGGCCATCTCCTTGGTCATCTCCATCTCCAGGGTCATCACTTTGCTGAACTTTATTTGCTGGGTTGTTGCAGTGAGTGCTGTTGGTCTAGAGGAATCAAACCAAGGAGGAGGGATCATAGTGCTCCCAACCAGTGACTTGTTGGACAAAAGAGCTAAAGGGAGAGTGAACAGTTGTGACTGCTTCTGACTGTGGCAGTTAGATTTAACTGGGGCAGTTCTGGCTTTCAAATGCCAGGGCACTAGCACAGGGAACCAGCTTTGTGTTCTCTTGCTGGAGCTGCAGGAATGGGAATTACTGATTTAAAAACTCCTGAGGTGACAGCAGATCCATGTTTAGCAGGGGCTGCTCGAGTCCTCTGATCTGCCAGGGACTGAGGGGGAGGGAGGATTTCTCACCTGGGTATTCCACTGTTGTTTGAAGTAGATGCTTGCACAGTACTGAGGTGAAGCACTGGCAGCTGCTGTGGCTGCTCACAGGCTGCAACGCTGGGATGCTGCTTCTCTATGGGTTAATGAAGGAAATGTCTTGTGGAATGTAACTCCAGCACTGGGACAGTGGAAGCAGGAATTTCTGCGGCTGTATAGCTGGGTCACCTGTAGATTTGTGTTGGGAAGCAAATTTACTTTGTGTAAATACCTTTATAATTATAATGATAATATAGGATATATAAATGTATTGGGTACTATAATAATAGTCCTATAATTATAATCGTAGTAAAATATTTGACTTCTCCAAAGGAGCAGATACTACTGGTTTGGCAGCAAAATTACTATTTTGTTTTACTGTAAACATATTCTTGTATTATTTTCTTATCTGTTTTTTTTGTTTGGCTTTTTAGAGAGCTGTTTGGTCTGGTGATTATTACAGTCTGGATGAGTCTTTGTTGCAGTTCAGCGAAGTAAGTTTTGTATCCCTTTATTTTTTTAATCCATTCGTATGTTCACATGCATGCATTTGATTTTGGCTGCTTGTTTTTCTGCTTCATGTCACTCCCTGAACCTTCTCAGATACCTAAGCAGTAGTAGATGGTGCTGCAGCCTGTAGGAGCTTGCACAAAAGAAAGTCTGCAGGGGAAAGGAAAGCTACACGAAATATTTCTTCTGGTCCCCTGCCATCATGGGCAGGGGACATTCTCCTGATGCACAGGGACAGAGTTCCCCTTCTGCAGACCAGGCTCCTGAGTGTTGGCCACAACTGCTAATGAACTGGAAGCCATTTCTGCCCTTGCTCCCCATTTACAGAACTTCCCAGTGAGGGTCTCTGTACTGGTGCCTGTTGTGTCCACTGGAGCAGGTGGGTGATGCAGGCAGGGCTGCAGAAGCTCTCTGGGTGGCTGCCTGGTTCCAGTGGCCCCTGAACTTTTCCCTTCCAGCTTCCTCATGGGACTGTGCTACAGCATCTTTGCTACATTCCTGGTGGCTGGGAGCATGAAAAATCACAATCTGCCATAAAGTACCTTTGTGCTGGGAAAGCATGTCACAGAAGCTCTGGGCAAACAGGGTGCTTTTATTTTTTTTCTGGTTTACATAGCCTGAGGTGGCAGAAAATCTTTTTCTGCTGGCATGTGGTGCCTCTCCAGTGAAGGACTCTGCTGATGGTTCCACAGGAGCTGCATTAAAGCATCCAGAGGCTCTCTGCTGGCTTTCCAGCTGCAGCCAGCTGTGAGCATTTCGTAGCAGGCTGAAGTAGCTCTGTTGCATTTGCTTCTTTACAGGAGCCCACTGGGTGGGGTTCGTTTGACTGCTGCAGTCATGGTTGCCCTCTTCCCCTTTGTTTCGTGGCTGTACATTTATGTGAACAAAGAGATGAGAGCATCTTGGCCAACACACTGTAAAACGGTGATTTAATTGGGTGGGAGATTGTATAGAATAAATATTCTGACCTTACTTGCCTTTGCTTTTGGTTCATAAAGAAGGGTTAGGCTCAGTTTGATAGGACTCAAGAATGCCTGGCTACTTCCAGCAGTGCAGTTTGAGATTTATTAAAAACACTGAGGAACACCGTCAACTCTGAATGGAGAGCTCTTCCATGGAGGCTGTTCTTCAGCTTGCTCCTTCGCACATCTTCAAAGCACTGTTCACCTGATGTGTGTTATATCCTAGCATCCCTGGATCACTCTCCAGCCACCTCATACTTTGGGAATCTACTGTTCTGTAACATAAGGGAAAAGTAACCCAAAAGCTTTGTTTCAATGAGTGACTATTAACAGCCATAAAACTTCCAGATATCTGTGTGGACAATCCATTAAGACTATCTGAAAAATTGAGCAAGTCTGTACTTCTGTTTCTCCACTAAAATCATATGTAGACTATATCTGAAGAAATATTTTTGCTACTATCTTTAACAGAAAATTACTGGTTTTACAAAGTAATAAATACTGATTTTCTAAAGAAAAATGCAACGAAAGCTGCTGTGTCTTTTATTTTCTGTGAGGTATGTACTCAAGACTGCCACCAGCAGACGTGGGGTCACTGTCGCAACTCTGCAGCGTTTCTGTTCCTGGAAGACGAAGCCACACAGCTGCCCAGCATGTCCCACCACTGCTAATCCCCGAGCAGGAAGCAGGGGTGAGAGCCAGGACAGGTCCGGGTGCAGCACAGCAGCTTCAGGTCCTTCCACATCAGGGCTTCCTGGCTCCAGGCTGCTGCAGGCTGACGCAGCTGTGCACACGCAAGCCCCAGCGGCTGCAGCATTACACATTGTGGTGCAGGTGGGCTCCGTTTTCCCTGGGCTTCGCTTCTTTTGGAGATTAGTTTTTTAAAGCAATGTTAAGAAGACTGCATTATGCTACAGGGCAGCTACATTCTGCCAGAAATGAGACATTACTGACTATGATTAAAAAAAATAACATTGAAATATGGCCAGGCAGGTACAATTCTTTGTGCTTTAATTGTGACATAAAAAAGTGGTGGTTTTTGACAATATTCATAATATGGTTTGCATTTTTTCCACAATAAATAACAATCTTGTTGGCACTGGGTGTCAACATTCTGCATTCAAGTATATTTATCTCAAACATGCTTACTGGCCTTCTCGATTCTCTAGGAAGAAACAAGGTCTGTTTTCTCAGGGAAACATAATTTCTAAAATTCTGTATCCAAGGGAAAAATGTTTGAGTTAAAGCTATAAGGACCAGCCATGCACATCCTTCTACAAGCAAGTAATAAGCCGATCCCCTGCTTTTTTTTTGTCCAAGTACTTCCTGAAGAAAAGCAATTCATGTTTGCATTTCACAGTTGCAGAAATGCATAACTCTGTCTGAAATTCTGCCCCTTCCCTTTAGTATCATTCTGTCTTCATAGACGTAAATCGTTCCAAAGGCATTGCTTTCGGGTGGAGTTTCAATAACCCCCTCCAAAGTCAGATGATGAACTCCATGAGAGTCTAAGCAGTAACCACCGTCGTGCAGGTGCCCTGCGAGCACGCAGACCACGCACCGGTGGGCGTGTATGACCGAAAGGGCATCTCTGTAATTCCACGCTAGGGAAACTATGTCTGAAGCATCTGGATGAATGGGCAAGTGACCTGCAGTTGAGAAAAGTAGGAGAGTTAGTTTAGGCGTAACCAAGCACTGCTGGGAAGTTCAGATGTCTAGCTGTGTACAGAAAGTTCACCCAAGTGTGAGATAGGATTGCTGTTCTACTTGTCAGCTTGTATGCGTGCTTCAGTGGAGCTACAAAGCTGCTACGTGTTTTCCTCAGCTAACATACACTGGATATGTAACTTTTTTTTTTGCATATATCCACATACATACCACTCCACATCCACCTACCCGTAACTACAACTTTTTCTTGGTTTTCATCAGAGAACTTGAGGACTTCATTGAACCAGTCCAGCTGGTCTTGGCTAAATCCTCCATTAAACTCTACAAAGTGAGGTTCCTGGAGCCCTGCAATGAAGAAGAAGGTTAGGCACAGCTCCACGCACCTCTCATGGCTCACCTATTTGCTTGCCTTATGCAAGTCTGCTTATGATAGACAGTTTACTCTTACAACCTTATTTTTAAATTTTTTTTTTCGCAATCTCTTGGATCAAAACTCCAGCATCTTTGGGCAAATGACAGAAAATTGTGGGTGTTTGGGAGGGACTTTGGTCATGCTGCACACAGCGGACTGCCACTCTTGAGCTGTCCCTGGGCTTGGGTTGGGGTGGGCATCCCTTGACACTGTGATAGCAGCTGCTCCAACAACTGCCTTTATGTCGTGATGCTGCAGGGCACGCAGCACAGCAAGAATCCTTCCCAAAGGCACCGCAGCAGCGTGATGGATACAGGGCACATTCTGTACCCACCTAGAGACCCCTGACTGGCTTCCAGCTGACAGCGGGGCTGTGGAGGAAGTGGGCAGGAACGGGACACATGCCTCAGCCCCCCAGCAACCACTTGTCAGCCCCGAGAGCTGCCTGATCACCTGGGGAAGCGGAGGGTCAGCCGCTTACCCTCCCTGGCAAAGGGCCGAGCCGGGGGAGTACCTGCGGGGCTGTTGAGGTTCTCGTTGGGGT